ACCTACAGACATTTACCCAAGGTCAGTTTGAATGGTTGCAGCCTGGATTAGGATTGCAAATAATGAACCCACCATGGTCCTACTGTATGTTGGGGCAGGTGTGACATGGTGAAACAACTTTATTTATAGTATTAATGTAAATAAACAATTCACGTGAATCTGAGCTCATTCATGGCTCCAGCTTACAAAGACCCCACAAGCGCAAGTAAACCTTGATCAACATGCAGCTTCGGCAGTATTCCTCTGTGATTTGTCCCACCCCATGGGCTAAACTACAAGTCTGCGACTGTGTTTGTGCTTGTTCAGCCAGCAGAAACACAATCCAGGTTGCGGTTTTCTGAGACTACATCAGCCCTGTGTCTCTGTACAAACTGAGTGACCTCAGCATCCGCCCTGAAATGTACTCCTGTGTGATGGAAACATGAGCTGTTTCCCAGCAGAGAGAGAGTGTAACATAAAAACACACACATTCCTGGGAGATGTGAGGTGAGCTATGCTAAAAACACGGACTAGTTTAACACTATTCTGACAACATTTGAAATGTAAATACAGTATATCTATGTGCAGCTAATTATCTGCAGCAAAGTTGTTTGGAGGAATTTCCGAACTACACTCTACTGTTTTTTATAGTGCTGACCATGTACAACGTGGATCATAAAATACTATTCACCTACATTTGTACACAGGTGTGTAAAATGAAAAGACACCTCACGTCAGGGTCTTTGCCTGAGAAGCTAACCTGATACAGTACAGCAGTCGGGACCCTGGTTATAGCCTACAAGTGTATTAACTAGAGAACCTTTGGTCCTGAACCAGCACATACTGTATCTGACAGGACAATGTGCAAGCTGGAAGATACAACAGTGCTTTTACACACAGGAGGGAATCCACTGCCCCACCTGGGACGCAGATCACAGCGGATCAAGGGGAGGAGTGAAAGACATTTCACCAGCTGAAACAAGAGGGAGTTTAGTTTGAGTTTAGCCAGGGCACTGGGGTTAACATGTCAGCGTTCAGGAACAGTGCCTTGGGATGTCTCTGATGACCAATTAACCCGGACCACTGCTAACTGTCTCATTCAAAGAATTGTAGACCTTCCAGCACAGTATCTCTTGTCACCTCACTAAGGCAATGGCTAGGAAATTCTAGAGGAAAGAGCACCCCCTACTGGTCCACCAACAGTACTTGCAGCTGCAAGGTTTTCTTAGGAGGTCTTCTATCCCAGTGCTGGCCAGGCCCAGCCCTGCTGAGCTCCTTAAATCTGGCCAGATCAGGCTGCAGGGAGGTCACACTGCACTCGGGAAGACTAACTCACAGAACACAATACAGTGTGAGACTGTATTCCTCCTGAGGTTTGAGTGGGGAGTTGGTTTTTAATTCTTCAAGTCTGATTTTAGCTCTCAGGTGCAATGTTCCCCTCCTGAACTGAAATAACCTGCACACACCTCCTACTCCCGAAAGACAAAGGTCCCAGGTGCCAAACGAAAAGACAAAATGAGCAGGAGGCAAGGAGGGCCTCGAGCCAGTCTCTGACTCAGGCCAGACCGTGAGGCAGATGGGTGTGACACGATCATCCAGCCCTGTGTGTCCTGCCTTCGCTTGCAGGCTGCAGTCATCAGCCCTTTCCCATGCCCAGCTCTGCCTGGCTCGGTGACTGATGTTTCACAAATATGACTGTGTTCAGAGTTGGCCTCTACAACCGCTCATCATCTTTAAGTCAGGAGTCAGGCTAGGAGGAATGAGCAGCATCTCAGACAATCGCCTCAGCTGCAGGAGGAACACTGACAAAGCACCCGGCACTAATTGTGATCCACAGGATTACGGTTAAGAGCTCCGCTCATGTGCTGGCTGTTCCCCGGCCCGGCCCGATGCCAATCTCTTTGTCTTCACAACGTGTCGACTTGCAGGGATTTGTACCGCTGTGCTGTGGAGGGTGAAGGGTGTGGCTGTGTTAAACGGCAGTGTGGAGGGTAAAACGCTTGGGAAAAACTACCTTGTACCTGCAAAATACTATCTTTCCCTTCCACAGATATGTGACAAGATCTCAAAATACACTGTGTTTCTTGCTCTGAAAAACAATGCAAGCATTGAGTTTTTTCATGAGTTTCGGCTGTATCTGTGCGAATGATTTCTGTCTCTCGCTGTGTTTGTGTAAAAGCGATATCGAGGAAAATGAGACGTGCCTCCACGCTCAGCAGGAAGCTGTCCTTAATCTCGTTACTTTTTTCGGGTTATTAAACCAGCCACTTGGTCCACCCTACCTAGTGCACCCATTCACTTGAGCAGGCTTGAGACAGAGACATTTACTTTCATGCAGAGTTTGTCTGAGGTCCAAAAGTAATATTATGGAGAAAATATTTTTAAGATTGCATCCCCTTCTGCTGATAGAGACGTTTTTTGCGTTTTGATAGAGATGTCAGCCCTTTCCTGACACCCTGACAGGTGTGTGTGACTGGCTCTGTTGCATTTTTGCTATTGTAACATTTTCAATCACAATATGGGCACACCTGGGGGACATTCTTAGCATTTTCTTAGCAATACATATCTTTACCAACGCCTACAGTGTCTTAGTCCTGATTCCTGGACTTTGTCATTGGGGACTATATATTCTAACTCTATACCAGCTCTGCTCATCACTCAGGGTTGAGATTCTGTGTCAGAAGGCCACATTTCCAGAGTGTTTTCACAGTAATATATAGTATCTCGCGTTCATCAATATGGACCTGTACCACCAGTTCATCAGGAGTCTCAGTTTGGTGTGTGAAAAAGAGGTGATCACAGTGTCATAAATTAAGGTTGTCCTTCAACAGAATCAGAACAAGCAGCGTGTTCACTGCATGACAAAGATAAATGACTTTAGTTTAGGGTGTGGACAGGAGGACAGGAATTCAGGACTTTAGAATTTAGAATTTAGCAAGGGAAACTGGCAGAAAGGAACAATGAATCTTTCGTTTTAAAAGTACAGAAAGGAACTCGTTGAAGAACTGAGATCTGATCCCTTTATATGGTTGAAGTGAATATAGTTTTCGGAATTTCAAATGGAGGGTTAATCATGGTCTTACCAAATCATTACTTACCAAATACATCTACATGTTAATGTTAAAACACTAATTAATGCCTGAATAATTTAAGACTACATGCTTGTTATTTCACTTAAATGCTTGTTCATGCTTGTTGCTACATGCTTGTTCTTTCACTGTTTTTGAGAAACTGTGCCATCCACTTCCCTTGACAAAACCGTCCTAGTTATTACAGTATATACTGTGCTCAGGCTCCCCGAGCTCCCCGAATGTATGTGCTGAGTCTGGGTTAGGAGGATCATTATGTTAACAGCAAACAGCTACTGCATAACAACAGGAACATATCAGCCTGTAAGCAAAACTCTTTCTTCCTTAGAGCACCAAGATCCAGGAAATAAAGACAGAATTTTCTGTTGGCTGACACTGAGGTGATCTGGTCATCTTGCAGTGCTCAGACAGTTATCCTGTGTGGCAGGAGAGAGACGGGACTGCTTTATGAGAGAGTGCTGGTAATTCTCTATCCAGCTTGGCGGCTGGTGTTCCCAATGCTGTATTTTGCATGTGTGATCGTGCCGATTCTGCAGACTCCCTGTTCTGCACACGGACGCAGCAGCAACCCGCTCTGTGGGATCTCTGTGGGATTCTCTCTCCAGCCGGGGCCCCCGAATGACCCTGCCAGTCACCTAAGGATCCCAGGTTTTGTTTTCCCATCTTTTTATGTGAACGAAGTTGAACAAAGTATTGATTTTTGTCTCACCTGAAGTGCAGTCTCGCACACCGTTCAAGACCACACCTGCTTAATAACTCCCAGGATGCTTTGCCCGCCTCGTCTTGCTTGCTGTTGATACATCAGAATCCAGAGAATCCAAACAACAGCAATATGCAAATTCTTTGAGTGGAGAGGTTTTTTTGGCTAATTACATTTCTTCGGGGCATGAAACCAGCTCTACTCCGCACTGGCTTGGAGTGCACTCTCACCTGATTACTGCTTGGGTAACGACAAAACACAACACAGCCTCTGAGCCGCAACACAGAATATTGCTTTCCTCTCGTTACTCATTGAGACCAGAAGGTTAGAACCTTTAGATTTGGAGGCATAGCAGTAGCTCAAAGTACTCAGTTTGCAACAAGGGGTGATCTGCTGTAGTCCTGCAGGTTTATGCAGCTGAAGTCTTTTTACTTTAAGCTTTTAAAGTTTTCGAACAAAGTGTCACAGATCACCCTTTGGTGTAAATCTAATTGTAGTTTCCCTGCTCTTGGCAACAGCTTCAGGAACTGGAGTGAGAAACTGCTCCGCGAGATTTATTAATGGAGCTGGCAGAGCTGTACTACTCTGGGAGGCACAGTGCTGCACGGGAGGGTGGGGGTACCAGGGTGTGCCCTGCACGGCTTTAGAGAGAAGCTCCTTCACCTCTGCATCGGCGGGAACAAACACGTTCAAGCACAGGATCCCAATACCGCTAATTATCTTAAGCTGAACAGGAGGCAGCCTCTGTGACTCAGTCCTAATTAAAACCTGCCTTATTCCCCGCCCCCCCAATGTGTAAACCGCAGAGCCTCCTCACTACACACACTCTCACTGAAAAGCTGCAATAAAGGAAAATGTGTGATCTTGAGAAACCGGCAGGCCCTCTGTTTAAATAAACAAACAGGAATAGAAAGCACAAAGGAAAGAAGGACACTCGGGGTTTGATTTTTGTCATGCTTTCTTGCATTAAAACAAAACAACAGCAGTAGATCTGTAGATTAAGATCAGGGAGTTCCGTTTCACCCTGAGCTACAGCTGTCACCACTCGGAATCTGCGAGTTCAGAGCGATGGCACGAACAGGAGCACTGTCCTGGGGCAGAACCTGCACACAGGTATCACCAGAAAGGGCTTGTTTCTCCAGGGCTAGACCCCCAGAGCACATTCTTGGAGCCAAAGGACAAAACGCACATAAATGGGACAAATTGTTGCGGTGTCCAGCCAATGAGCACGGCCCGTCCCGATGACACCCCTCTGCGCGAGGCGTATATGAGAGCAGGGCGAGAGAGGTGCCGGTGCCACATCCTGACCCTCTGGACCTCCACAGCCTCTGATCAGACAGCATGAGCACCTTCTCCGCCAGAAGCTTCCTTTTTTCGACTGGGGGGGCCACCAGCCCGCTCCTTCTCAGTGGTGGCGGGGGCAGCAGTCTGTCCTCCAGCAGAATGGGGGGCCGGGGCGTCCACGTTTCCTCCGCCAGTGTGCGGACCCTGTCCTCCTCACTGGGGGGCCTGTCTCTGGGTGATAGCGGCGGCAACGCGGCCCTGAGCCACAACGAGAAGGCCACCATGCAGAACCTGAACGACCGGCTGGCCTCCTACCTGGAGAAGGTGCGCTCGCTGGAGGCCGCCAACGGCGAGCTGGAGCTGAAGATCAAGGAGAAGCTCGAAAGCAACACTGCTGTCAGCCATGACTTCTCTGCCTACTACGCTGCCATCAAGGACCTGAATGACCAGGTAAGGGGGGGGGTTGCAAGGGGGCTCCCCAAGAAGGGACCTCAGTGTCCTGAACTCTGCTGGATCAGGAACTGCTGCCCTGGAAAGTCCTGTGACGGCCACATGTCCTGCTGGGGTAGTGGGAGCTGCAGAGATGTTCATCAATATGGACCTTCCCTTAAGCAGCAACAGGGAGAGCATGGTGACGTGTGGCCAGTTGAGGAAATAATTAAATCAGTGCAGCTCATTTGGACATAGCACAGATTACCAAATTAAAGCGACCAACTGGCCCATGTAGGCTATCAGGAAGGTAGGAGCTGATTGATCTCAGATGAAACACTTCCTGAAGCAGCCCAGTTTGTATTCTCCACCTCTCCCAGATGAATGAAGCCACACCAGGCAGATTGTCAAACCATTGTTTATTTTTCCACTTAAGCATATGGCTTCTGGCAGTCTTTTCCTTCATTTTATTGCGCATTGCTGTAGCGATCAAATACAACTACTATTTCACCCTCTCCAGTACGGGTGTGCATCTGAGTGTGGCCACATCATAGATCCGGAGAGAAATTACGTGCCTCGCTGTGGAGGGCAAAGTCAAACTAATTTCTTTGGGATGCAAAATGTTCATGATCTCTGGGTTTCCACTGCTTCTTTCCACTCAGATCCACGAAGCCCGCCTGGCTCATTTCAAGACTGTTCTGGATATTGACAACACCAAGCTGGCAGAAGAGGACTTCAGAATGAAGTGAGTATCCCCATCTGACTGAATTATTGGTGAACGATAACTCGGTAGGTTTTTTTTTCTTTGTGGCAAAGAACAGTTCATTTGCAGCTTAGAGCTGCCCCGGAAAAATGTTTATTTTGATTTGCTTGTCTTCTTTTAAAGCAAGCGGAAATGTGGATCCTTTCTCTCTGCTCCTCAGTCAAAAGCAGACCCATGCCTCTTCAATTCTCGGTCTCTTGTGTCCCTGCTCCTCTCACTGGCACAGTGCTGAAAAGATTAATTTCTAGCTTGGAATAGCGATGGGTTTTATTGAAAATGTCACATTTCAGATGAGCTGTGAGGTCTAGTTCTGTGATTTTGAGCAGCCCGAAGTTCCTGACCTGGGTGGCCATTGACAGGTTCGAGAATGAGACCTCCATGAGGATGGTGGTGGAGGCTGACATCACCGGGCTGAGGAGAATGCTGGACGAGATGACGCTGGCCAGAGCCGACCTGGATCTGCAGATCGAGGGCCTGAAGGAGGAGCTGGTGTTCCTCAAGAAGAACCACGAGGAGGTGAGAGCTGAGAGGAGGTGGAGAGCCAGGCCCCTGAGCCAGGAGGCAAAGATCAGAGGAGGAACTCCAGGCAGTCTCTAACCCCAGACCTCTGCTCCCATCTGTCCAGGAGATGGTGTCGGTGCGCGCCGAGCTGGGTGGCCAGGTCAATGTGGAGGTGGACGTGCCTGCTGGGATGGACCTGGCCCATGCCATGGCCGACATCAGAGAGCAGTATGAAGCCCTGACAGCCAAGAACCAGAGGGAGCTGGAGGCCTGGTACCAGGGCCAGGTAAGGAGCATGTGCCACAGTGCAACACTCAGTGTTGAAGCAGAAAAGGAAGATCTGTCTCAGAGATAATGAGGGCAAACCGCTGGATGATTAATGGGGAAAGGGTGTTGTACTGAAGGCATATTTCACGAAGGTGCTCACCAAGGATTAAAAAGTTCTGATTGTTACAGTAACTACGAGAGCCATATGCTTGTGGTCCACTGAAACGTGAGGACCATGCTCCCCCTCTGCTCCCCCTGCAGGTGGCCACTGTGCAGCAGGAGGTGACCGAGCAGAACGAGAGCCTGCAGATCAGCCAGGGGGAGGTCAAGCAGCTGAAGAGCACCCTCCAGAGCCTGCAGATCGAGCGGCAGAGCAGCCAGAGCATGGTAAGGCACAACCCTCTGAGGCGGGAGCAGGGCGAGCCGGAAAACAGACCAGGATTCGGCAGGCAAGTTAGGGCTTACGAGACGAGGACGAGCTGTGCTCACTTCCACGTCTCGGCTGCAGATGAGTTCCCTGCCAGGCGGAAAGGCACAGACAAGAAAAGAAAGATCCTGCTGCCAGCAAAGTTGAAATGATAGCCGACTGAACTTCAGCGAATTTAAACAGGCGAGATCTCAGCTGAATAGCCCAGGTCTGCCTCACAGCAACCTGCAGACTAAACTGACTGGAAGGAAGGGCACAGATGGGAAAGATCTGGGTCATAGTTACACAATTCTTAAAACAGAACATTGTACCGCTTCAGAGTTTAAAAGGGTGGTTCAATCACATGCTCCCAGTGCTGTCTTACAATCCACACCAGGGGGGTATTTGAACAGAATTCGTGAGAAGATCACACTCTATTCTCATTTCCTTGCCCGTTTCATTTTGTCACCCCTCCCTTCATACCATCTTCGCCCTAGAGGCAGCTCGCTGGCTGGTCCCTCCCGAAAATAGGGGGTTCCGATATCTCCATCCTTACAGACAGGTTGTCGGTCTCCTCAGAAGGGGTGCGGAACGAATAAACCTCCTTTATTTAAATGTTGCCTCTTTTCTGTCGAATTAGAGTTTGACCGAATAACTGATCTACACTATGGGATCTACAAGAAGTCACCATGAATCAATTAGATTGTGCCATTTCTCGCTGAGGACGGGGCAAAATCGTCAAAACAGGCTCCTAAACACTTACAAAACAGGCTCCTAAACAGGCTCCTTATACACTTGCGTGTATAAAGTCAAGCCTAGCAGTCAAGGACAGCTGTCACCTTTATTAGGATGTATAGGTGGGATATAGCAGACTTTTGCCATGTCCCTAAAGCAGCACTAAGCTCTAAGCCCTTTCTCCAGGACCACACGTTTGTGAAGTAAGCAGGAGTGGGTTAAAGGTGCATGAGTATTCGAGGTTGTACCGTTATGAAAAAGGGACTAGGACACCCTCACCAGTGAAAAAGCCTCCCTTTGTTGCTGCTCTCGCACTGCTGCTTTTCCAGTGGCTAAATGCACGCCAGCAGAGAATTGTTTTAAGATTTTTTCCATTCGCTGCTCACATTTTATTGAAATTGAATGGCATTTGGCCTGTCCCTGCACAAAGGTAGTGACAGTCCGAGGAAACATCACTCATCCATGGTGGTGTCTGAGGGGATCCCCATTCCCTGTAAAGCGCTTTGAGTGGAGTGTCCAGAAAAGTGCTCTATAAGTGTAAGCAATTATTATAAGGTAATCAAATATTCATCGAAAATTGATAATCTGCTAATAGCTTTAGGTCAACACTTCGTACGTAGAATATATATGCATCTGAAGTAGTCAAATGTACTTTTGTTTTTAAATGAGAGTTTTAAAACTGTAATTTACTTGAGTATTTCTTTCTCCATTGCAACTTGCTATGATAGGTCACTATTCTGCAAGGAATTTGGGGTAACACCCTTCAGCAAAGTCTGGTCTGATGTGGACTTGCAAAAGGGGGAGGGAGATAAAGGGCTCTCTGGGGGCTCTCATGAGCACCCCCTGTGACACACTCATTAGACATGGGACACCCCAAGCTCTTGCAGGCCCTCAGAGGAATGCACATATAAAGGCCATGAGAGCACATGTGTGGCATCTCCCCAGGTGTTCAAAAAAACAAAGGCCTTCCATTTAGGCTATTTCAAATGTGGAAAATCGGGGTGGTGACAGCTGCTCCTTCCTCGACTCCACAGAAAGAGGCGCTGGAGGCCAGCCTGGCAGAGACACAGGCGCGCTGCTCAGCCCAGCTCGCCAGCCTGCAGGCCGTGGTCAGCTCACTGGAGGCGCAGCTCGCCCACCTGCGGTCCGACATCGAGGAGGACGGGGAGCAGTACCGCCGCCTGCTGGACATCAAGACGCGCCTGGAGCTGGAGATCGAGAAATACCGCCACCTGCTGGACGGGGGGGAGTCAAGCAAGTCCGAAGGCAAGTGGTCTCCATCCACTGCGCTGCCTGCATCAGCCTCTCTTTCAGTTCAGTACAGTTAGTCACTGAGGTCACATGCAGGATATTTATATAGTGCCTTTAACAGTAGCTTCTCAAAGCGCTTTACAGTAAGAAGAAAAATTTACAAGGTGAGAGGAGATAACTAAATTAAAAACAAGGGTTTCTTACTAAATAAAAGCCCTGGTGAAGAAGCTTTTGAGGCTGAATTTGACACCGCCCAGGGAAGGTGACTCTCAGATATCCCTGGGGATAGAATTCAGGCACTTCAGGGCGCAGCAAGAGAACGTCCTGTCCCCACATAGGGTAGACAAGTCTAGGGGACAAAGAGAAGACCTGTCAGATGAACAAAGGCTTTGAGTTGGGGTGCAGAAAGATAAGTTAGACAGGTATGGAGGTGGCAAACCATGCAGAGCCTTACAGGCGAGCAATGAGGATATAAGCTTAGAGGTTCCTCTGCATGTGAAGATATAGACATGAGCACTGCACACTGTGCAGTACTTACACTTCGAAAGACAGGGCAGGAGTGGGTTTACAAGGCGAATCTCACGTCATGGTCCTGCGTCAGAGTCCTGCTGTGTTTTCCCAGCCTGTGGGGACAAGTGTCAGCACAGTCTTCATCAGAACTGCGACATTGTCAGAAACGTGTCCTTTCAGGGGTTCCCTGAGAATCAATCTTCAACTTAAAATCTGTATGTTTCTAAAGATATAATTCTGGCACTAAAAATTAGAAGTACAAATGGGTGCAATTCTTGTTCTTTTCAGTGACCACAACTGCCACGGTGGTGACGGTGATGAAGGAGTCGGAGGTCTCTGAGCCCGCCAAGTGACCTGGGGGAGCTGCACAGTCAGGAACCCCCTGTTTCCCCGAGAGGCAACATGCGCGTTTCTGGACTGCTTAATAAAACACATCTGGCTGCTCCCATCCCTGCTGAGTGAATCGAGTTCTTTCTGTGCTTGCGGAGTCTCTGAGGAGACTTTGCAAGCTGTCTGCCTGGTGTTCAGTCTGCCTGGTGTCTCTGCTCATTTACCTTAAAAGCAATTCAAGAAAACTGTACAACGTTCAGATATGAAAGTTCAGGGGAAAATTGCCTTAGGCTATCCAGAGAGCAGAGCAGGGAAGCTCCGGTGCTCTCTCCTTCCCTCAGCTGTAAAACTCAGGCATTTCAAAGTGCTTTTTATACCCTGGACACAGCTTGAACAAAATCCTTTGCGACAGTGGATGTTGTGCTAGGGAAAGGGCAAATATATTCAAACCTTAAAACAGAATGCAAAATTGTCCAGCTGCCCCAAAATATTGCAGTGGACAGGGACTGGTCTGCTTCATAAAAATCCAAAGTAGCAGCAGGTGGACTGGAACAAAGGACAGAAGTTGCCCTGTATTCTACTAAGGTTAGAGCGAATCCTGAGCTATTTTTCAGGACAGAATGTAGCAAAACCCACAGGAAGGCAGCAGACAGGAGGGCCAGGAGGGGAATCGGTTTGTAGTGGTTGAGTAAAGCTGGTGGCTGGACACTCATCTCTCTGCACAGCTGGGACTGGCTTTCTTTGCTTGTACGATGTTTTGTCAATCTCCCTAAAAGACACTCATTCACCATCTTCAAGTCTTCTGCTCCATGCAGCCTCACACACCCAGCTCCCTTATTAGGTCTCCAGTCTCCGCTCTCTCAGAGGAGCTACGGGAGACTGCCCCTCAAGCTCCACTGACTTGGTTTGCAGGGCAGCAAAGGCAGAAGGTATTTGAGGGAGAGAGAGAGACTGAGAAGGTAATATTTGACAGACAGGTGTATTTGTGGAGGAGTTCAGCCATTTCAGGTGGTTCCAAGTCCTTGATATTTGGATATGAAAACTACACCTCACCTATCCCCTTGGGCACAGCTGTGAAACTGAACCACAGCTTAGAACCGATTTACTTGAGTCTGAAATATGCTTGCGATCACGGAAAACATCTTTAAACGTCTCAATCAGTGAGCTGCAACAAGAAGAGGCAGCGCCTGTCAACACAGAATATGAGCAACGGTTTGAAAAGATTTCTCAAAATGTCACTTAAACCACAAGTAACAGTCATACAGCTCTCTTTAATTTATGGAGCTGTTAATGTTATGATTTCACCATCTTATCTCCTCGCACTTCTGCTCTCTTATGCACAACGACGTCGCCCCAGAGCAGGGGGGTTCATCGGGCTCGACCTCAGAGCTTCCTCTGCCACACCTGAAGATATCGCGGCAGGCCGACCCAAACCCGGTTCTGCGGAGAGACAGCTGGCAGGAGGCAGGTTTGCTGTTCGACAGAGGCAGAGCTCATTGCTCTGGGAGTTAGAGTACAGAGGCAGTTTTCTCACCGGGCAGAGAGGAAAGGGGGGAGCACAGTCTCCCATGACTTGGCACGTGGTGCAAAGAGGTTGAACAGTCAGGGGGTCCCCCTTTTCTAGGCTACACTGAGGGGAAGCTGCTTTGGGGCGGAGCGATGGCACTGTGGCTCAGGATCTGCACCTGTGGCTGGAAGGTTACTAGTTCAAATCCTACAGCCAGCAGAGGA